ATTATAAATAACAATTTGTAAAACATACATGGAGGTATGATATAATTAATTAATAAAAGGGGCAAGATCAAAATTTCCATTTAAATTAAATAAAATTAAAATTCTTAACAATAATAGAACACTTGTCTTTGCAATAATATTTTGAAATTTATTATTAATATCACTTACAATTTAATTTTTTATCACTTCCTAGACAAAATGTTAGTATTATTAGTATTGTTTAGTATTTGTACAATATGCAAATTGTTGTTATTATTAAATACAAAACGTAACATATTATGATGGAAGTGTAGCGTCGTTTTCATTCACCAATTAAAAACCGATGTCGTAATTTCTAGTTCTGTTCTTTTACTACAAAAATATAGGTAATATTTAAAAACAAAAGCAATTATAATACGTAATTATTCATTTCTTTTTGGTAGTTGTATTATCCAGTAACATTCTTTATATTTAAACTTTTCATACTTAAGCAATAGGTCAGTAAAAAGTCGATACCATTTTGGGAAGCAAGGTTAAAACTTTAAGAGATGGAATATATACCTAATATTAATATTGTTAAATTATTTATTCAAGGTCTTGAATGCGTTATTTTATTGTCGTATTTTGATGTGAACTCATTTTTTTTAACGTCAGTTTGAAATATATTTAAAGTTCAGTATATTTTCCTTAAAATTTTAACCAATTATCTCAAAACGGTAATTTCTTCGTTTGCTGACTTTTTGAAATAATTTTTGTATTTCTATACCCTTACAATTACTTCCCTAAGTTCTTTAGCGGACATTTATATGTAGACACGCTATTAAGTTGGTTTAAACATTGTTAATTAACATTAAATAGAGCAATTACAAAATCACCTTTAGTTCAGTACGATGTAATTAGATGTACCATTTTTGGCACTGTTATATTTTAGGAATATTATGTAGGTATCTACTTATCGAATTAATTTCAAATAATTTAGTTTTATGTATAAAATTTAGCGAAGAGAAAAACATAAGGGTTAAATTTCAATATTTACAAACATTCAAAATATTTTGTCAGATATTATTAAAATTGACGAAAACTGTTTCTTGTTTTTTGTTTGAGACCACATACATATACTATTATTATTATTATTCATATCGTTAGATGAAACGATAAGTCGTTAATTCTTATAGATAGTATACACTTTAAAGTTTGCTAAATGTTTTGTTAAATAGAACAAATTAATTATTTTTTATTTATCACATTTGATAAAAGGCAAGAATGAAAAGTTGGATGGCACATTAAGTTCAAATAATTATCACACCTGTTGGAAAAATTATATCTTTAAAAGAGATCAATAGTTTTCAGTTGGTGGTAAATTTCAATCTGTTCACCGTCTGAATATTTATTTAGAAACCAGCCAGAATTTTGCATATTTACACTCATTTTGTTCGTTAATAATTGTGGAGAGGATTTGAGAAAATTAAGTAAGATTAGAATTTTAATTTGGCGTTTTTGAATCGTACGAATTATAAAAAGGATTTTGTTTAATAAAGTGACTGCATATAATGCTTTAATTAACATCTTACCAATTAAATATCACATTAAATATATATATACTTCTCAACGTGTACTAATTCGTATACACGGAAATCAACTATTATGTAATTAAATAAAATAATTCGAAGTGGTCTGTATTCTGTCGAAACTGCCAGACGCGGATCGCGATTTCGATCTTTTTGGATCTCATCAGCGCGTCGC